TGGTTAATAATTAAATAAATGAAGATAATCTATTCAGGATGGATTTAAACCATACCATAAAGAATCTTAAGCACACTGCTGACATTTTGTTGTGCTGTAAAACACAGTCTGCCTATGTGATCATGAAATGTGAAGGGAATCAGTGCTACACTAAAGCTAAAGAATTAATGTTGTACTTAGCATCTGAAAGATAATTATTGCAATGAATGGACTATATCCACAGGGTTTCAGCTTTTTTTTTTTTTTAACTTTCTAAACAATCCTAAATTACACATCAACTTGAGGGGCTCAATTAATGATTCTAAGCTTGCTTTCCTTATGCAAAAAAAGAGAGTGTCCCTAAGTTATCACTTACAGTTCCCAAGTTCCTATTTCCCCCCAAAGTAGTGATCAACTACACCAACCCACTGGCCCTATCCCTAGAGACCAATGGCACGACTCAGACTTCTTAAAGGCTACTGGCTGAGTCTCAGAACAAAGCAAAAGTAAATGGCCCACAATGGATTTAAGCTTCAACCTTGTGAGGATGGTTATTTTTTTTTTTAATATTTTTAGTTGTAGATGGACAAGAAATCTTTACTTATTTATTTATTTGGGGTACCCGGGATTGAATTCAGGGGCACTTGAACAGTGAGCCACATCCCTAGTCCTATTTTGTATTTTATTTAGAGAGAGGGTCTCACTGAGTTGCTTAGCGCCCCACCGTTGCTGAGGCCGGCTTTGAACTCATGATCCTCCTGTCTCAGCCTCCAGAGCCACTGGGATTACAGGCGTGCCCCACCGCGCCCGGCTATTTATCTATTTTTATGTGGTGCTGAGGAGCAAACCCAGTGCCTCACAGTACTGGGCAAGTGCTCTATCATTGAGCCACAGCCCCAGCTCGAAGATGGTTACTGATCATTCCTAGGTGACACTACCATTGGCAAGAGGGTGTGTCAGGATGTGACAAAGGATTAAGTCTTGGACAATGACCAAAGAAATAGAAAACACACTACTTACCACAGATAAAATCTGATGGAAGGGGAAGGAGTGGAAAAAGAAGAGATAAAATGCCTTAGAAGTGACTCATTCTGAAAGTGTTCTCTGAGCTGGACACAGTGGGATCAAAGGGAGGAGACAGAGAGGAAAGGATTAGGCCTTGGGAGGACCAGACATCAATAGGAAGAGTGACAAGGAAAACCTGAACACAATCTCACTCCACAGGTTTCAAAACCTTTCCTCTCTCCAAAAGTTCCTGGTTTGAAGGAGCTTCTACCTTTGTTGCTTCTTAAAATGATCTGATGAAGTCCAACTTTAAATCTAGGCAAATCCACTGGGGCATGCTTTTCTATCAGGAACCCAGTCTCTCTCCCTTGTCACTCAACACATGCAACATGATATGTTCTATAAAATTGAACAAGGTCATATAAATTTGTGTTCTTCTTCCACTGTAACATCTTTAAATTTAACATACTACACAAAAATCCCAAGGTTATGAAGACTCTGATAACATACAATCCCACACCATCATCTTAGGCTGTACTTAAAAGATGGCTAATTTTCTTCTGAATGATGGGTATTTTAATTATTAACTTCTTAAGCAAACTTAGCTTAGAGATTTGATTCATTTAGATGAACCACCAGAAATCAGAGTTGTTATCCTGAATAACCTAGAAGAAACCAATTATATGTGTCAATTCTCATCCTGAAATGAATTATCGCCATACAACAAGCCAGACCACTGAGTCTCTATTCTAATTTGATTATCTTCACATTCAGCTTCAAACAAATGAGCAAAACACCTCAAAAATGGTTTACACATGCCTACAGATGCCTCTTCCAAAGTTAGGAGCAATGCCCTTCAACAATTTGACACCACAAATTCTCCTGGACCACTTCCCTAGCAAAAATACCCAATGACTTTGGCCATCCTTACTTTAGCCAACCCAGGGTCAGAGAGATCACTTTGCCATACCCTTTAAGTAAACAAGCTGAAGAGATGAAACCAGCTTCATGTATTCAACCAGCAATCTCTGTACAGACCTCTGCTTCTACACAGTACCTTCCTAAACAGCAGCAAAACTTTCTATGCGACTGAGACACAAGGTAGGAGTGTCACCCCAATAACTCCAGATCCAGGAACCAGGGAATGAAGTGGCAGCACAAGGTCACACATCCTTTAAGTCAAAGAACTGGAACAAAAACATGAATTCTCTCTGTAAAACACACTAGAGGAGAGTGCTTGTACTGGGGCTTGGGTTTCAGGGAGTCAATCTAAGGAAGAACTATTTAGAAAGCAACACAATTTGAAGCTGGGGATGTGGCTCAGTGGAAAAGCCCTTGCCTAGCATGCACAAGAACCTGGGTTTGAGCTCCAGTATGGGGGGGGGGGTGCGGGACAGCCACACAATTTTAACTTGACACTAGGCACCAAGGGACTGAGAAGATCTGACCCTGTCTATAGGAAGCCTTGGCTCCTACTTTGCCCTGAACTTCTTTGCTGCTATAGTGGCATCCCAAAGGAACAGTCACCTCAGCTTTTCTGCCTCTATACAGGCAACTTGCTTTGCCTGAAATGCTCCCCACCCATTCTCCTTCTAGCTGGCTTTGTGGACCTCTACAACCAGCTCAGATGATACCTGTCTCAGGAGTAGACCTCTGCAATGCTCCCAGAACATGCTCCATTGCCTTGCATGGCTGTGTACTGTCCTGGCTGATGATCTCACCTGCCAGTCCCCACACATAAAGTACTAGGGAAGACGCTGAGGGAGGATGAGGGGACAACTGATAGGACCTGGCTTCTTCCAGTGTCTGACAACGGAGCAGGTAAGTATTTGTGGACTAACTGAATCTATGTGTCAATTCACAGAAGAACCAAGTCAGGTTTCCGGATAGAGAATTTCAGACAACTCAAGGGAAAACCATCACTCACCACCTTCACATGACTACTTGGACTCCTTTCCCAGTCTAGCTCCTCCAGAAGTCCCTGAGACCACACAAGTTCAGGTACAGATGTTCCTCGATTTACAATGGAATTACATTCTAAAAACCCATTATGAATTGAAAATACTTTAAGTCAAAAATGCATTTAATAACCTAAACTACCAAACATTGTCCCTTAGCCTAGCCTGGCCTACCCTAAACATGCTCAGAATGCTTAAATTAGCCTACAGTTATGCAAAATCATCCAACACAAAACCTATTTAATAATAATGTTATTTAAATATATGCTGAATACCTCATGTTTTGTACAATGAAATACAAAAGCAAAAAACACAATATCCAAAAAAATGCCAGCAACACAGTACACTGTGGAATATCAGTTGTCTCCTCCTGTGACTGTGACTGCTGGGAGCTGCAGCTCTCTGTCACTATTCAGCATCAGATAGAGAAGAATAAACCACATATAGTTAACCTGGGCAAAGATCAAATTTCCCAATTCAAAACAGATTCTACTGAATGCATATCAATTTCACACCACTGTAGGGTAGAAAAATCATAAACCAAACTACTATGAGTAGAGATCCTCTGTACTGTCATGGAATGAGGATCTCATGCTAGGTTTCTATGGGGTTGTTTTGTTTTGTTTCCATTTCAACTGAACCTTGGGTTTCTTACACATTCAGAGTCATTCCACATTATTAACCTCAATGGTAAAGTGAGAGCCACAATTCTGGGGTCTGACACATAATAGTCAAGTGTGAGCTCTGAAGTCTGGGTTCAAAAGTATCATCTGCCAACTGGGTAACTTTCATCAAGTTACCCTACACTACTTCCTTACAACACACAAAAACCAAGGTGCCTCTGGCCGGCATTCATTTCACAAAAATTAAGTGAGCACCTAYGGCGGGCCACATGCAGGCCATACAGTGGTGACTGGCCATTGGATCTAAACTACACCTTCATCAARTCAGTCTGTTCAGAACTTACCACTACCTGCAAAGACCTTGTTCATGGTAATCTCCTCTGATTAGAATATGGTGAGCTCTACCTCTCCCCAGTGTTCGCTACAATTACTCAATGAATGCAAAAAGAATGAATGAGCAACCTGGACAAGATCTCTGATGTCTTTTCCCTCATGACCCTTACATTTTGGTAAAGAAGGAAAGAAAAAGATAAAAAAAAATACTTATACATATGATAAAAAATAGTTATATGTGTTATATGTATTATATATATATGAAATTATATATGTGTGTACGTATATATATAGATATATAGAGATATATGTAGATATAGATATAAAACGTGGTTAAGTGCAGAGGAGAAACCAGAGCCCTGACTTCCCAGAGAGGCATTTGTTGCTCCAGCCTCCTGCTGGCTACAACTCCAAGCATCTCTGAGAATAAAAAGGATCCCAGCACCCTGGCGGCCTCCCTCAGCACGAGGAAGACCCTCGAGAGAATGGTGGTCCACTCCCATCAGAACTCTGGAGGAGGTTCCCTTTATGTATTGCTTCAACAGACATTTATTAGGCACCTAGTATGTACTGAACACAGAGCAGCGAACAGACAAGGTACTGTCCTCATTGGGTTTCCCATCTAGTGTCGAAACTCAGTGACTGGGTGGTGAAACGTGCTGTGCTGATCACAAGTCAGAGATGTGACAGGCATGACAATGGTGTCCACGGTGGTCTGGTGGTCAGTGCAGGCCACTCAGCAGGTGACACTAAGCTGAGACCTTGTGAAGCGCAGGGGAAGGGCCTTCCAGTCAGAGGGGCCACCAGTGCTTGCACTCCTCGAAGTTGTCAGAAGTTATGGTGGCCTTCTTGACAAGTGTGCCTCGAAGGCGAGGCCAAGGGAGGCTGGGGGAGGAGGAGCAGGCCCCGGCCCCGCACCCGGCCCTGTGGCCCTCGGGGTCCAGAAGGCGCTCCGCAGCGCCCGGGCGGCGCCGAGGCAGCAGGCCCCACTGCCCCGCGGCCGCGCCGTCGGCGGGGACCGGCGCGACGTCACCGGCGCCGGGCTCCGTCCTCCGGCGCGGGCGGGGGCCGCGGCGGGCAGCCGCGGGCCTCCGGGGCTTACCTCGGAACTTGAGCTCGTGCTGCGGCTCGAGACTCAGGACCTGCTCCACCTTCGCCATGTTCCTTGGCGGCGGGGCACCTCTGGCAGGGAGACCCCCGAGAGGTCACCTGGGCCGGGCGGGAATGCTGCGCCCCCTTTAAATTCTACCCGAGGGGCCAGCGGCGCGGGCGGGGGTCGGCAGCGGGGGCGCGCGCGGGGGGCGGGGGGGGGTGGCCTACGCGGTGCAGGCGCAGGGGCGGAGGGCGAGGCCGCGGTGCCGGACGAGCTCACGGCACGCACGCACGCACGCAGCGACGCATGCACGCACGCACGCAGCAGCTGGCCGGCTTGAGCAGCGGGAAGCGGTGCCCAGGCAGTGCGCAGACGCAGCCCAGGCCACGGGGCGGGGCTGCGGGCAGCAGGGGGCGGGGCCTCGCTTTGCTTGGGAGGAGGGGCGGCCTGGGTGTCAGTTCCTGCTAGCCTGTTTATTAGAGGCCTGGCGGGCCAGCGGTTGAGTTAAGTGCTTTGCTTAATAATAATAATTAACAAGTATCGGCTTCCACATCTCTGTTGCTCATGTGGTGCCGGGCACTGTTAGAGACTTGAATAATAATGAAAGCACTTATTATTATAAACGTGTTGTTTATGGGTGAGTGATATGTGCTATATGCACTGTGATGGATCATAAATAATAATTATAAACATAATAAACTACCAATTATTGTTTGCTTATTTTGTGCCACTCTGCTGAATGCTTTCAACAACAACAAGCAGCTATCATAAATAAAAGCTGCTCTACATTTAATGTTTATTGTGCAACAAACACTATGCTGGAGCCTTTACTAATAGACGCCATTTTTTTATGCAACAAACCTTTTTAGAAATATAATGACTAGAAAAGTTGCTTGATTCCCACCCTCTTGCTAGCACCTAAGGGCATTCTTTAAATAAATAATGAACAAATTAATTACATGATTAAAAAATCTCTGGGAACCCAGATATGTTTGACCTCAAAAATAGATGCTCTACATCATTATTACCATTTAAAATAGTGTTTCACTGTGTAATATTAGCTGAATAAAATAGGTGTCCTTAATATCTCCTATACATACATACATACATATATAGATGAAACAAGCATGGCAAATTGTTGACAATAGTTGGCTTTCTGGTCAGAATACAGATGTTCTTCATTCTATTCTTCCCACTTCTCTGTATACTTGAAAGTTTTCAAGTATAATCTTTGTCTTTTAACTGGGGCATTTAGTCCATTTATACTTATTATATCTACTAATATAACTGGATTCATTTCTACCATCTTATATTGTTATTTGTTTTTTGAAGGAGATACTGAGAATTGAACCCAAGGATGATTTACCACTGAGCCACATCCCCAACCCTTTTCTTGAGACAGGGTCTCACTAAGTTGCTGAGACTGGCCTTAAACTTTCTATTCTCCTGCCTCAGCCTCCTGAGTTGCTGGGATGACAGGCGTGTGCCACCATACCCAGCTTATACTGTTGTTTCTATTGTTCTCCTTGCTTTTTACTTTTTCCACTTTCTTGCTTCCTTGGAGTTGATTTTTTTTTTCAATCTGTTTTTCTTCTCTTATGTGCTCTATTTCTTTTTTTATATTTTTTTTTTAGCTGTCGATGGACACACTATATTTTATTTATTTATTTTTATGTGGTGCTGAGGCTGGAACTCAGTGCCTCACACTGAGCTACAGCCCAGCCCATGTACTCTATTTCTATTGTTTTAGCGGTTATCTTAAAATTTTTGACAAGTTATTTATGAAAGTCTAATTTTTAAAATATCTGTACCCTGATCCCTTGAACTGTAAGGACTTTGGAATACTTTAATCACCCATCAGCTAAATTGCATGTGTTAATTGTAGTGTAGGTTTAGTCTTTTCTACCTCAACCCTGTGAAACGTTATTAACTTGTTTTATATAGTCAATTCAACCACATGGTTACAACTTGTTTGCTTATCTTTTCTTCTTGCATCTCAACTTACACAACTRGGATCATTCTACTTGTGTCTGAAGTACATTCTTTAATTTTTACTTTTTTAAGGGTTGGTTGGTGCAAGCTCTCTTGGTTTTTGTCTGCCAATGAATTTATTTTCCCTGGTTCTTAAAACATCCGGCCACTTGCTTGCTGGAGTAGCAGTCTCTCTCTGTCTCAAGACAGTACAGGCACCATCCTCTACCCCCTGCTCCCATGTTTTTCAGGAGGAGTCAGATGACAATCTTATCATTATCCCTTCAAAGGAAATCTACATTTTCCCCTCTGTTCTTGTGTTCTGCAGTTTCACCAAGATGTATCTTTTAAAATTTATGTTCCTTGAATTCTTTGGGCTTCCTGAATTTGTTGATTAGTGTCTTTCATCATTCTGAAAAATTCCCAGATAATAGTAGTAGTAATAATACGTTTCTCAATTTCATTTTACTTTATTATCATGCTAAAATACACATAACAGAATTGACCAGGTGCCATTTTTAAGTGCACAGCTCAGTGGCATTTAAGTATATTCATGTTGCTGTACAACCATCACCATCGCCTGTCTTCAAATTCCTTTCATCTTGCAAAACTGGAAATGGACCCCTTAAACAGTCATTCCTCATTTCCACTTCCTCCCAGGTCCTGTATGAACGTGACTACGTACCTGCAGTCAATATTTTCCTTTTGTGACTGGCTTATCTCCTTGAACATGATGTCTTAGGGTTCAGCTGTGTTGTAGCATGGGAGATGCTATCTCTTTTAAATTTTACATCAACCCTATTCTCTCATTCTTTACATCTGGGATTGTGATTTGTGTTTTATTCAACTAGTGTTTTTCAAACTGTAGTTTCGTTTCCCAAAAGTGGACCAATTGAGTTGGTTGTTATCAGCATTGAGGAAAAAAAAATGGGGGGGGGGTTAGATAATTTGCAGTGAAATTGTATTGTTTCATGAAACTTTCGTTTCAGTTATATTCATTAACATCCACTCGAATCTAATAGAGTGGAAGAGGAAGATTGGAAAGCAGGAGAGAAAGAATAAAATGCATTATTTACTGTGGATCAAGAAAGAAAGAAAGAGAAGGCAGGAAGGGATGGAGGGAGGGGAAAGAATTAAATGAATCTTTAAAAGTTTTTCATGCCACTCCTCCTATTTCTTAAGCTGTCTGTCGYACCTTAACCTTACATCTTCATGTCCTACATTCTGGATATTTCTTCAGATCTCTCTTTCGGTCACTAATTCAGTCCCAAGAGCTTTTGATTTCATTTTCTTTTCTTTCTTTATTGGCGCTGTGGATAGAGCTCAAGGCCTCTTGCCTCCACCACGGAGCTGCCTCTCCAGAGTCATTGCTGGAGTGTGTGCCCTGGAGTGGGGGGACATTTACCAATGTCTTCTCACAACTCACCCAGTTACATTTGGGGTATGATACTTAGCAAGTTTGAAAATCTATCACTACAAGACATAAAGGGTTTTTGTTGTTGTTGTTGTTTTGTTTTGTTTTGTTTTGTTTTTGTTTTAAGGAATCCATACAATCTCTTTGGTTCTCTGTAATTTAAGCAGAGAGTTCAGAGATGGGTGCTGGCTGTTTGCTTTCTGTTCTAGCCCCATGGAATCAGAGGCAGCAGTCCCACCCCAGAGTTCTGTAGTCAGGGCAGCTGCTGCTTGGTGGGTAATGGGCACTTTTTGCACTTCTTGTTGCAATGAGCACTTCACAAGCAGGTCACGATGTAACCCACAGTGAGGTCAGTGCACGTGCGGTCAGTGGTGTGCGGTGAACGGGCTTTCTAGTGGCCCGGGTTGGGGGGTAACTGAATGGGAGTTTCTGCCAGTTTCCATGGTATTCCACAGAAGCGGAGCGCAAACTGGCCATGGCTGGTGCTGTGAAAGGGATACCATGGGGCCACTTCTAGGGTTGCCAGAAACATCTGGACACTGGCACAGCTGCCACTGCTGAGTGAAGGGGTACACTAAAGGGACGCTGAGGGGACATGAAGCAGGCAGGAAGGAGCAGGCCCCCTGCCCTGTTCTGCTTTCTAGTCTTCCTATGTTCCTCTGCCGGCATCTGAGGAGATGGCACGGCTCAGCCTCAGCAGCTTCTCAAACCAGGGTTAGGGTGTGTCCATGGCTGAGAGAGATCGGCTTCCTGACCACCCTCCTTTTTCTATAAATGTGAGAGACACACTTTCCATTAGAGTCCTGCTCTGCCATTCTGCGGGCTCACACTCAGAGCCTCTATTTTCTTGTGGCTTTATAACCTTAGCTGAGCATTCTCAGAGGCCTGGCATTTCAGTTACTAATCACCCCCAAACCCAGTGCCTTCAGATAGCAACAGCCCCATCATTGTGACTTACACTTCAAGGGATGACCAGGCTCAGCCAGGCGGCTCTCAGGCCTCRGAGACACAGGGAACCAGTGGCTGAGGTGTGCAGGGAATTCAGGGACAGCCACCCTGTTCAAGGACAATCCCTAAGGTCTCTGTGTCTCTGACAGCACCTGCAGCTTCAGTAGCTTCCTAAAGCCACCCTTCTGCTTGATAATTCTCCAGAAGGACGCACAGAATGTGGGGAATGCTGTAATACTCGCAGATACCGTCTCTGACGAAAGGATGCAGATTAAAATCAGAGGATTCCAGATGTGGAGTGTGCACAGTCCTTCCCTGCAGAGCCAGGATGTGTTGATCTTTGGTGTCAGCGTGTGACCACATGCCCAGAATGTCAACCTCCTACAGAAGCTTTCCAGTTTCAGTGTCCAGGGTTTTTTACTGGGGCTCTATTATATTACATGGTTGATTGATTGATTGATTGATTGCCCACACAACTGATTTCATTCTCCAGGTCGACAGATATCACACAACCCAAAGCCTCTACCCTATGTCACACTGTCGGTCTTGGTAGCCAGCCCCCATCCTCAATGGCAAAGTTAGTGCTACCCAGTATGACGCCAGGCCCTCAGGCAAAGAAAGATACTGGGAGCATTTTGAGAGAAGCCAGGACAAAGACAAGAGGCTGGAATGCACACAGGTCGGCATGGATGAGCCCAGCCAGGTGGCTGGCGGCCACTCCCCTGAGACATTTCATGATTGATCCATGTGCCAGGCTTCAGACAGACAGCAAGACTTCCTTCAGAGAGATAAGAGACAAAGCGAGCACCTGAGAGACACTATGTCACCTTTTCTAACCTAGCCTCAGAAGCCACAGAGGGTCCCTTCTTTGTGGCCTCTAGATAGA